TAAACGTATAATTTCATATCGCATCTTTCGGTTTTCCTTACAAATCACGGGTCATGGGTGCTGCTGCTATCACCTGTCGCATGGAGGTTGTGTTTGCATTTATCAGACGAATCACGACTAATGCCTCAGAAAGGCACACTCTCAACACTCATACATACACATCTCAAAATACATGTACTCCTAGAGCTCATAACCGGGAGTAAATCTATTTATATCTTTTCATTCGTCGAGGACAGCCAAATCGGTCGGAGATTCACGACACTCAGCAAAAGTGCATGGAGAGAGACGAGTACACTGTGCTAGGGTACGATGGAAGCGCCTCAGTCGATGGTATTGGACAATTAACCGGGAACGACCCCATGGGCGGGGAGTCATGGAATCTGTCAGATATGATTGACGAGGATGACGGGATATACTACAGCGAAGGCGTTGAGGTGGACACAGGGGTTAAACCATCTGACAAACAGCGGGTGAGTGTATGTGTATTGGTATGGTCTATGTACTAGTGTACTGGTATCTTTGTGTGAGAGAGAGAGTGTGTGTAGTGTCTGGTTGCGCATGTGTAGCTGAGCTAATTTATGAATAGTGGCTCTAACACATATATATACATGTGCATGCGTGTATGAATGTATGTATGTATATATGTATGTATATACATACATACATACTCATAGTTGAGAGTAAACACACATACATACGCACACACGCACACGCACATACACACACACACACACACACACACATATATATATATATACATATATATATATACACATATATATATATATATAAATACACACACGCACAACATACTAGCGCCCTTGCCATGTCTATATCTACCACACTCCAGCTGACAGAGTGAGTAGCTCGGAATCGCAGTACTCGCCCTAGAGCAGTTCGGTACAAGCGAGTGAGATCAGTATTAAGCAACATCCCAACTGCCTTAACAGTCCAAAGCGCATGAGCATAAACCCAAGAACGTGCCTGACATGCACTCAGTGGACTCTGGCTTCCGACCCACCGGGGAGGACACCCCGACACGCAGTCAGGAGGGAGGGCCAATGAAACCGCAGAGAAATCCCGGAGAGCCAACCAAAACGCAAAAAAACACTGGCGATCCAATGGGGGACGAGGGAATCTGTGTGGTCAGCGGAGGGGTGGAGCCTCGCAGCAAGGCCGCAGAGTGGCTGCCGTGTGTGGAGATACAGACACACTTTGCACAACGACCATTGTGGACGGGCGCACAGTTCTCACTCAAAACCCTACAACGACCCAACACGGCAGCAACGCCGTATGAGGGTAGTCTGCCTACGCCGGTGCCTATTGCTACTGATGCCTCGGTGCTGCTGGATGATGATATGCAGGTGTGTGTGGGGTAGTTTATATATATAATGTATATATATATATATATATATATATATGCTATGTATATATATATA